CAGTTTTATTTAAATACCAGTTTAAACTTTAAACCAGGTTAAAGTTGCCTCGAGAAATGTTACATTTTAAGATAAAGAACCCGACGATATTTGAGACTGAAGACAACCAGACATGTGCAGCTGGTGAAAGAACCATCAGGGGCAGACAACTGCTAAGACTCTCAGGTCTAAAAATTTGCACATATTTAACCAAATCATTTTCTGAGTTATAGTTTTAGAGTTATAATTAGATACCATCTGGAAAATCTAGTATTTATTCTATTTTGACTCCACTGATATTTTGGTTTTTAAACATGTCCTATTTGCTCAATCAACCATGAAAGTTGAATGAAAATGGCAACAATTTTATATTAAAAAGTATTCTTTATGCTATATTTACAACAGTGTTGTTAAATTCAAATATCACGTTCAAAATAATCAGTAGTTTTCTTTTGTTTGTTTGTTTTAGTGTGTGGTCAACAGTGCTCTTGTCCAAGAAAGTAACAAAAAAGTAATCCCTTTACTGATTACTTATTTTCAAAAGTAATTAGTTACTTTATTACTTAGTTACTTTTTGAAAACATGATACACAACCCGGATAAGTAATAAAGCAATAGACCTTTCAGCCAAATTCTGTTTTTTTCTGCATATAAAATTGAATCAAATGAAAAAGTCTCTTTTGAAAACTTGTTTTATTAGTTTTAACTTTATGCAAAAATACGTTTTCTTCCCACACAGAGTGAACAGCGGACGCTAATGTTTTTGTCACTTTTTACAAACTCAAAGCAATATGAGTACTTCCAAGCTTTAAACTCTGCATGGTCGCACGCGCTTAACGCCATTGTCACAACACACTCTCACAAACAAAAGCACGATTTAGTAACGCAGTAATGCAGCGTGCTTACGGGAAAGTAACAGTAATCTAATTAATTTTTTTGCAATACTAATCCCTTACTTTACTCATTACTTGAAAAAAGTATTGCAGTAACTATCTCTGGTACTCAAATATTGGACTTTGCAGGAGTGCTCGACTTTTCTTGATACTGCCTTGATTTCAACGTGGGGAAAATCAGGTGAGTCAACGGCCCATTTTTCAAAAAATTATATCTTGAAAACTGATAAATGAGGCTAAAATCGCACAAAAATCATTATATATGTTTAGACTGTAACATAAAATTGACGGCTTAGCAGAAGGCTGCTAGATTCCCCATGAAAAGCAACAAAAATACAAAATATATGATAAACAGGAAGCAGGGCACCTAAATTATTAAATTTCGCCCGAGCTGTAATTATCACTATAAATTATAAATGAATTAATTCTTGCTTAATATATGAAGTAATGTTTTCAGATTTTAGCGTAAATAGCAGCCTAGATCGACATCCATGATTCAACATTAAGCTTAAAGGCTCTTAAAACTGCAGCGTGGGTGTCAACCACTCCACCACAATGCCACCGTGCGTAGCCTTAAGTCTTACATCACCTGGCGTCGGTCTTGAAAACAGATTAGGAATAAAATAGGTACACAGACTGAATGAAGAGGAGGTTAGCTGGATGAGCGTTACAGAAGGTGAAGAATGGCTTTAATATCAGAGTCTGTTCCACCGCATACGGTGAAATCGGATCATCGTAATCTCACAAAAGACAAAGAAAAGCTCCTGTTGCAATATTTCATAAGAAATAACCACATTTTCTTAGCAGACATCTCAATATCCCCTGCTATTCTACCCCACTGAGAAGATGTAATCTGCTCAGGTCCCTGACGGTGATCTCATCAAAAACTAATAAGCGCAGCATTGTGTTCCCAGACTAATGGAGCAGAGATTCATCATGTAGGATAAAAAATGGAAATGAGTTCCGAGGCTGGGCAAGAGGACGCACTTGACTACGAAAGGCGAGCGAGCCTCTGAGAGGATCCTCCTCTCCGAGTGGATGTGTTCTTCCTGCCTGTTGTCCACCACGTGCTTCTTTTTGATGACCTTGAGTGCAAAGGTGACATCCTCACTCTTCACCTTCACCTGCAGATGGACATGACAGGGTAAACATTAAGTTTGCTCCTACCCATGAATACACCTTTCTAATGAACTTTCGGTAGAGTAAACTGACTATCAAAATAATAATTTCTATATGAAGAAGGTCAGATTAGAGTTTGCCAGAAAACATCTAAAAGAACCTGCACAATTCTGAAAAAAAGATTCTTTGCAAAGATGAAACCAAGATTAACATGATGGGAAGAGAAAAGGAGAAAAGAAGAGCATCAACCATCAAACATGGTGGAGGTTACTAGTGTTTATTGATGGTGTTACTGCTGATACAACCAGCAGGATGAAGAGTGTGCAGGACTACACTCTCTGCAAAGATTCAACCAAATGCTGCAAAACCGGTTGCACAGTGCTCATGGATAAGAACCCCAAAAAGAAATAGGATATTCTTCAGTATTCTCAATCCAACAGATTGCATTTTTCAGTTACTGCAGATAAAACTGAATGCTGGAAGATTCTCAAACTCACCAAAGGTCAGCTCTTACCAGTTCTACACGTCCAAACCCGCCGACCCCAAGGGTAGTGATGACCTCCAGGTGATCAAAGGGCCTGGATGAAGAGAATTCGGAAACCAGTTCCTTCAGCTGGAGGACGTCAGGAGACAGAGGCTGACTTTGGTGGCGTGACACAGACCTCCTGGATGGAAGACACAGACAAAAACAGAGAGTCTACCGTAACCTAAACATTTAGCAGGAGAAGCAGTAGATCATAACTACTGTACATCTGTGAGTGGAGTTTTCACATCTGTGATTTTCAAATCATAATTTATTACAATTTAAGTGAATATCTGAACATTTCATCTGCTGACAAGTGAGCCAACGAACACTTTAGCAGAGAAAGAACAGCTAACAGACGAGTGCCTCAGATGGCGAACACCAGCTTATGTTTTCATCAGAGTCTTCTCCTCGCTGTATTATCCGTAAAGCACAAGATGAGTGTGTTTGAAAAGGGATGAATGTGTAAAGCTCACAGAGTCGTTGATAGAAGTGGAAAAGTTCGATATGGATGCAGTAAGAACAGAAGTTTTTCAGTACTCGTTAAAGACCCCGGATAAGCAGGATGGTGTGTCACGTTTCTACTTTAACAACAGCTGAACTGAAACAAGAGGTAAAACAATCTAAGCATGAAGAAAACTACAACGTGAATCTCCTTTGCAACACGAAAACGTAATAACCTGCAGACATTGCATCAACCCAGAAGCTGAGAATAATTAAACATTGCAGTGATGTGCAGTTTGTTTTGCAACAAGTAGCCATTTCTCTGTGATGCAACTCATTTCTTTTTCCATGCTCAGAACATTTTTGTTCACTGTCCCGAACATGCTGCACCTACTTGGCATGTCTCTTCTTGTCGTCGCGATCGAGTGTTGCCACGTACCCTTGGAGGTACTTCTGCAGCTCGTTGAAGGTGCCCACCGTCTGATCAAATGTCCTAGAAAAAA